ATACATGAACACTGTATTCCAACACCCCCACTCAACAACTACTCCTTATATTAGTACCATTTCGGATCTTAGTTCTGTGAGATGGGGAAACAGCTCTCATTGTTTGAACACTGTTTGTGTGGAGTAAATTATTGTGTGGAGTAAATTAAATGTTCGGAACTGACATTCTGCGGTTTAGCCAAGATGCCACTGTTTTCCTAACACAGCCTCAGACTGCATAGATATTTCTATATTCATGAAGAGGTGGTGTTTTCACACAGAGTTTTAGAGAACAGGAAGGAGGGAGACAGCAGCCATGTTTAGAGGATGGTTAATGCAGGAGCCATGTGAGCAGAGAATCTGATGGCATCCAGGTGTGAGAACATCCCTCAGTAACCAGAGCTACAGCTAAGTGAAGCTGATCGTGTCCAAGACCCTGATCCTGTTCAGAGAAAGGAAGATTGCTGCCAGGAATGCTGATGAGAGCAGAGGAACAAAGCAACATACACTGCGATACCTCATGCTTGTTGGAGAGACATTTGTTCTGTTCAGATTCACCAGCGGATGCAAAGGAGACCCGGGTCGGTAAGATCGTGCACGCACCTCATTTCAGTGTTGGCGCCTAGAGACTGAGTCCAGGCCTATAGTTAGTTAGTTAGGGTCCCTGTTTGTGTCAGGCCACAAGTGTTATTACTGATCATTGGAAGGACTCCATAACTTAAAGTGACATTTCACATTGGAGAGCTGATAACATCCCACAAACTCAAGCCAGACTGGCATTTTGCTCAGAAGGAATACTCAGGCACGTGCTACAGGACCAGTTATGGGAGGGGGAATACTGTAGATTTGTGTAAGATTGTAAGCTGTTGTGCTGCACTGCAGGCTAGCCCATACCATACACCCATACACTGATTCCTGCTCTTTTAGGGTAATAACGGGTAAGGTGTGGCAGCTTAGTTTGTGCCCGTCAGTAGGTAATATACTACACCTTCTACCTTCATCCATCAGGAGGCGCCGTGCTGTGCAGCACAAGGGTCTCAGCCTTTGGGCTGGGTGTATGTAACTTTATTGTACGTTCTCAGCATTTGTGGTTGTGTTTATTTGCCACATCTAAGTAAAATTCTGTTTTCCTCGTTCGTGATTTCACTGTATCCTGGGGAACCCACCCCGGTACACGGCTTACAGTTCTTTAAATCTGTTTCTTGCTTTGTCAAAGCAACTGAAATCATGTTTACCATGAAGTAGCTCTGAAAGTTTCCATGTCTGCAGCTCAGTAAGAGATGTCATTCACTTTTGTTTGTCATGGGTTGGAAGTCTTTGCATTTCATCCTGTGAATCTAGCTCTGGTTTTAATGCGACACAAGCAACATAGGACACACATTTGGCTGGGATGCCTTTATTGCTTCTAGAAAATTTCCTGATTGAAGCCTCTTGTGGCCTCGTTTCTTCTTTTACAGTATTTGGGTTCACTGTCTTATTTTCTTTTTCTGTGTCACTTGCTTATCTTCCTGTGACACTGATGTGGAATTTCCCTCAGTTTGAGAGTTTTTGTGTTACTTCATTAAATTTTGAACACACTGAAGATTCATCGACAATTACTCTTCTACCGATGGTTACCTTGTTTGTGTTGTAGAATTCTGTATCCCTTTGAGATTCACTGTACCCCACAAGTACACCTTTCTTTGCGTGAGCATTTTGTACGTTTTTCTTTTGGGATGTGTACATAGGTTTTGCCTCCAAACATTTTTAGATGGTTCAAATTCTACAGTTCATATGGAGTTTTCTCAGTTGATTATCCTGGTAGTTGATTTTGGAGATAACATGGCATAGCTACATCAGACAGCATGGTTCTTCCACTCACACATAGAGTATGGTGCATTCTTTCTGCAACAACGGAGCAGGTGCAAAACCTAAGGAGCAAAGTAGATGTAATACTTCCTTTATTGCACATAAGTAAAACACTTACAAGATGAAGGTGGATAAAAGGCATATCATATCCGTCATGGGGGTTACCGCCATCTGTGTATTACCACTGTAGGTGCTGTGTACTGCAATGGGTTATTCCGAGCTTGTGGCCAGCAGAAAGATGGAACCCGGAGGTCTACGTTGAGGTGCACATGAAATGCATTTTTATTTTTACTATTAACTTTATTTATTTATGTTTGTGACCTGAGTACTGACCTTTAGTCCTGAATCTGTTCCATCATCATACATAGAAAGGTGTCCACCTATATACTGTTATGTATATTTTTATTTTTTTATTGGCTATGTTTTATAACAGAAAATAGAAAATAGAAAATATTGGGGTTTCTTTAAACATTTTTAGTCTTTTCCCATTTATATAATTAGAAAAAAAACCCTGTGGTGATTAACCACTTCAATACCGGGCACTTTTACCCCCTTCCTGCCCAGGCCAATTTTCAGGTTTCAGCGCTCTCACACTTTGAATGACAATTGCGCGGTGAAGAAATGAAAAATTCGATTCGACTGATTCGGCGAATTCGTGGACAATATTCGATTCGAGTCGAATAAATTCGCTGTGAATTTAACTTAAAAAAGGGTGTTTCTAGGCTTCAGAGAGACTTAATATTAGTGCAGAACACTGTACCTTTAATTTAAATGCCCTTGGAGTCTGCTGGGGAAGAGAAATAATACTGTCACTCAGTATGACATGCAGATGAGTGCCGTCGATCTTAGAATCACCGCACACTTCACTCATTTGGCCAGTCACGGGGCCAAAACCAGTGTTTGGAGCCACAGTGTGGCGGTGGAGGCAGCAGCAATGGGAGGCCATACAGCAACCTATGACAAAATGGAAACCAGCAGGAGTGTGAGGAGACCTGAAAGTGGCACATGCAGTGGGAGCAATGGGAGGCGGTACAAGGACCCATGTCACACTGTGGACCCAGCAGCAGCGTGACCAGGCGGTACGGGGGCCCATGGCAGATTACAGGCCTGGCAGCAGCAATGGGAGGCCCGTAATCTGCCAGCACCCTATGACAAAAAATGGAACACACCAGCAGTGTGTGAGGAGACCTGAAAGTGGCACATGGCAGAGTGTGGCGATGGAGACAGCAGCAATGGGAGGCCGTACAGGGACCCATGAGAGACTCTGGACCTGGCAGCAGCATGAGGAGGCGGTATAGGGGCCCATGGCAGATTAGGGGCCTGGCAGCAGCTATAGGAGGCCCGTAATCTGCCAGCACCCTATGACAAAAAATTGAACACACCAGCAGTGTGTGAGGAGACCTGAAAGTGGCACATGGCATGAGACACTCTGGACCTGGCAGCAGCATGAGGAGGCGGTATATAGGGGCCCATGGCAGATTAGGGGCCTGGCAGCAGCTATGGGAGGCCCGTAATCTGCCAGCACCCTATGTCAAAAAAAAATTGAAAACACAAGCAGTGTGTGAGGAGACCTGAAAGTGGCACATGTTTGGGGCATGATTCATGGCGGATTTAGTCAGTTGTGTCAGGAACTAGTGGTTTGAAATCCAGACTAATCCACGCCTGATTCATTTTCACAAACGTGAGTCTCTCCACACTTTGGGTGGACAGTCGTGTCCTCCGCGGAGTTGCAATACCTCCTGCCGCACTAAACACGCGCTCCGATGCCACGCTACTGGCCGGGCATGACAGCCTTTCAAGGGCAAATTCAGCTAGTTGGGGTCAAAGGTCAAGTTTCGTTGCCCAGTAGTCAAGGGGATTGTCTACCTCGGTTGGCAGGGTGCTGTCCAAGTAGGCCTAAGCCTGTTGTTTGAGGTCCTGCTCCAGGTCCACCTGATGCTGCTGCTGCTGCGGCTGGTTAGTAGTTTCCTCACTGCGCTGGTGAAGAAAGCTACTCATCATCGACTGCAGACTGAGGCAGCCGCTGCTGGTGGAGCTGCCACTGCTCCTACCACCCCACCCCTCCCCTGCTGCCATGGCAGCGGAACGCGAGCGCACAGGGCCCACAGTGTCTGAGGATGGACGTTGGCGCAGAAAGGCAGAGACCAGCTGACTACATAGGTGGTTTTTATAGTACGTTATTTTGGCCTCCCTCTCAGCAGGTGTGAAAAAGGCCACCATTTTTGAACGGTAGCGAGGGTCCAACAAGGTGGACAGCCAAAAGTCATCCCTCTGTCTGATGGTTATTATTCGGCTGTCGCTACGCAAGCAAGCGAGCATGCTATGGGCCATTTGTGCCAAGGAATGCGAGGGACTCCCTACCTCCATCTCCACAGCATACTGCCACGGTGCGTCTGGGTCCTCTGTCTCCTCCTCCTCCTCCTCCTCTACCAGATGCTCCTGCTCCTCCACTCCTGTCCGCTGAGTGGAAAAACCACCCATTTCACTCAATAATTCCTGAGCACCAATGTCCTCCTCTACCTCCTCCTCTTCTTCTTCCTGTCCTGCCCCCACAGGGGTCATGTGGCGTTGAGATCTGTGCGCCACGTCTACCGCACCCTGACCAGCCATTGTTAACAGCATTTTTGTTCCAGGACGTGCAACAGAGGAATGACGTCGTTCATCCCATAGTCCTGCCGACTCACGAATAGCGTGGCCTCCTCAAAGGGCCTGAGCAAGCGCAGGTGTCACGCATGAGCTGCCAATGGCTGACATCTAAGTTACACAGGGAGTACCTTTATCCGCTTTTAACATCAGGAAATCTGTGATGGCCTTTCGCTGTTCGTAAAGGCGGTCTAACATATGTAGGGTTGAATTCCACCTTGTTGCAACGTCACAGCATGAGGAGTCGGTACGGGGGCCCATGGCAGATTACGTGCCTGGCAGCAGCAATGGGAGGCCCGTAATCTGCCAGCACCCTATGTCAAAAAATTGAACACACCAGCAGTGTGAGGAGACCTGAAAGTGGCACTGGCAGAGTGTGGCGATGGAGACAGCAGCAATGGGAGGCCGTACAGGGACCCATGAGAGACTCTGGACCTGGCAGCAGCATGAGGAGGCGGTATATAGGGGCCTATGGCAGATTAGGGGCCTGGCAGCAGCTATGGGAGGCCCGTAATCTGCCAGCACCCTATGTCAAAAAATTCTACACACCAGCAGTGTGAGGAGACCTGAAAGTGGCACATGGCAGAGTGTGGCGATGGAGACAGCAGCAATGGGAGGCCGTACAGGGACCCATGAGAGACTCTGGACCTGGCAGCAGCATGAGGAGGCGGTATATAGGGGCCTATGGCAGATTAGGGGCCTGGCAGCAGCTATGGGAGGCCCGTAATCTGCCAGCACCCTATGTCAAAAAATTCTACACACCAGCAGTGTGTGAGGAGACCTGAAAGTGGCACATGGCAGAGTGTGGCGATGGAGACAGCAGCAATGGGAGGCCGTACAGGGACCCATGAGAGACTCTGGACTCTGGACCTGGCAGCAGCATGAGGAGGCGGTATATAGGGGCCTATGGCAGATTAGGGGCCTGGCAGCAGCTATGGGAGGCCCGTAATCTGCCAGCACCCTATGTCAAAAAATTCTACACACCAGCAGTGTGTGAGGAGACCTGAAAGTGGCACATGGCAGAGTGTGGCGATGGAGACAGCAGCAATGGGAGGCCGTACAGGGACCCATGAGAGACTCTGGACCTGGCAGCAGCATGAGGAGGCGGTATATAGGGGCCTATGGCAGATTAGGGGCCTGGCAGCAGCTATGGGAGGCCCGTAATCTGCCAGCACCCTATGTCAAAAAATTCTACACACAGCAGCAGTGTGAGGAGACCTGAAAGTGGCACATGGCAGAGTGTGGCGATGGAGACAGCAGCAATGGGAGGCCGTACAGGGACCCATGAGAGACTCTGGACCTGGCAGCAGCATGAGGAGGCGGTATATAGGGGCCTATGGCAGATTAGGGGCCTGGCAGCAGCAATGGGAGGCCCGTAATCTGCCAGCAGCACCCTATGTCAAAAAATTCTACACACCAGCAGTGTGTGAGGAGACCTGAAAGTGGCACATGGCAGAGTGTGGCGATGGAGACAGCAGCAATGGGAGGCCGTACAGGGACCCATGAGAGACTCTGGACCTGGCAGCAGCATGAGGAGGCGGTATATAGGGGCCTATGGCAGATTAGGGGCCTGGCAGCAGCTATGGGAGGCCCGTAATCTGCCAGCACCCTATGTCAAAAAATTCTACACACCAGCAGCAGTGAGAGGAGGAGACCTGAAAGTGGCACATGGCAGAGTGTGGCGATGGAGACAGCAGCAATGGGAGGCCGTACAGGGACCCATGAGAGACTCTGGACCTGGCAGCAGCATGAGGAGGCGGTATATAGGGGCCTATGGCAGATTAGGGGCCTGGCAGCAGCTATGGGAGGCCCGTAATCTGCCAGCACCCTATGTCAAAAAATTCTACACACACCAGCAGTGTGTGAGGAGACCTGAAAGTGGCACATGGCAGAGTGTGGCGATGGAGACAGCAGCAATGGGAGGCCGTACAGGGACCCATGAGAGACTCTGGACCTGGCAGCAGCATGAGGAGGCGGTATATAGGGGCCTATGGCAGATTAGGGGCCTGGCAGCAGCTATGGGAGGCCCGTAATCTGCCAGCACCCTATGTCAAAAAATTCTACACACCAGCAGTGTGTGAGGAGACCTGAAAGTGGCACACATGGCAGAGTGTGGCGATGGAGACAGCAGCAATGGGAGGCCGTACAGGGACCCATGAGAGACTCTGGACCTGGCAGCAGCATGAGGAGGCGGTATATAGGGGCCTATGGCAGATTAGGGGCCTGGCAGCAGCTATGGGAGGCCCGTAATCTGCCAGCACCCTATGTCAAAAAATTCTACACACCAGCAGCAGTGTGTGAGGAGACCTGAAAGTGGCACATGGCAGAGTGTGGCGATGGAGACAGCAGCAAGCAATGGGAGGCCGTACAGGGACCCATGAGAGACTCTGGACCTGGCAGCAGCATGAGGAGGCGGTATATAGGGGCCTATGGCAGATTAGGGGCCTGGCAGCAGCTATGGGAGGCCCGTAATCTGCCAGCACCCTATGTCAAAAAATTCTACACACCAGCAGTGTGTGAGGAGACCTGAAAGTGGCACATGGCAGAGTGTGGCGATGGAGACAGCAGCAATGGGAGGCCGTACAGGGACCCATGATGAGAGACTCTGGACCTGGCAGCAGCATGAGGAGGCGGTATATAGGGGCCTATGGCAGATTAGGGGCCTGGCAGCAGCTATGGGAGGCCCGTAATCTGCCAGCACCCTATGTCAAAAAATTCTACACACCAGCAGTGTGTGAGGAGACCTGAAAGTGGCACATGGCAGAGTGTGGCGATGGAGACAGCAGCAATGGGAGGCCGTACAGGGACCCATGAGAGACTCTGGACCTGGCAGCAGCATGAGGAGGGTATATAGGGGCCTATGGCAGATTAGGGGCCTGGCAGCAGCTATGGGAGGCCCGTAATCTGCCAGCACCCTATGTCAAAAAAATTCTACACACCAGCAGTGTGTGAGGAGACCTGAAAGTGGCACATGGGCAGAGTGTGGCGATGGAGACAGCAGCAATGGGAGGCCGTACAGGGACCCATGAGAGACTCTGGACCTGGCAGCAGCATGAGGAGGCGGTATATAGGGGCCTATGGCAGATTAGGGGCCTGGCAGCAGCTATGGGAGGCCCGTAATCTGCCAGCACCCTATGTCAAAAAATTCTACACACCAGCAGTGTGTGAGGAGACCTGAAAGTGGCACATGGCAGAGTGTGGCGATGGAGACAGCAGCAGCAATGGGAGGCCGTACAGGGACCCATGAGAGACTCTGGACCTGGCAGCAGCATGAGGAGGCGGTATATAGGGGCCTATGGCAGATTAGGGGCCTGGCAGCAGCTATGGGAGGCCCGTAATCTGCCAGCACCCTATGTCAAAAAAAAATTCTACACACCAGCAGTGTGTGAGGAGACCTGAAAGTGGCACATGGCAGAGTGTGGCGATGGAGACAGCAGCAATGGGAGGCCGTACAGGGACCCATGAGAGACTCTGGACCTGGCAGCAGCATGAGGAGGCGGTATATAGGGGCCTATGGCAGATTAGGGGCCTGGCAGCAGCTATGGGAGGCCCGTAATCTGCCAGCACCCTATGTCAAAAAATTCTACACACCAGCAGCAGTGTGTGAGGAGACCTGAAAGTGGCACATGGCAGAGTGTGGCGATGGAGACAGCAGCAATGGGAGGCCGTACAGGGACCCATGAGAGACTCTGGACCTGGCAGCAGCATGAGGAGGCGGTATATAGGGGGGCCTATGGCAGATTAGGGGCCTGGCAGCAGCTATGGGAGGCCCGTAATCTGCCAGCACCCTATGTCAAAAAATTCTACACACCAGCAGTGTGTGTGAGGAGACCTGAAGTGTGGCATGCAGCAGAGTGTGGCGATGATGGACAGACAGCAGCAATGGGAGGCCGTACAGGGACCCATGAGAGACTCTGGACCTGGCAGCAGCATGAGGGAGGGCGGTATATAGGGGCCTATGGCAGATTAGGGGCCTGGCAGCAGCTATGGGAGGCCCGTAATCTGCCAGCACCCTATGTCAAAAAAAAATTCTACACACCAGCAGTGTGTGAGGAGACCTGAAAGTGGCACATGGCAGAGTGTGGCGATGGAGACAGCAGCAATGGGAGGCCGTACAGGGACCCATGAGAGACTCTGGACCTGGCAGCAGCATGAGGAGGCGGTATATATAGGGGCCTATGGCAGATTAGGGGCCTGGCAGCAGCTATGGGAGGCCCGTAATCTGCCAGCACCCTATGTCAAAAAATTCTACACACACACCAGCAGTGTGAGGAGACCTGAAAGTGGCACATGGCAGAGTGTGGCGATGGAGACAGCAGCAATGGGAGGCCGTACAGGGACCCATGAGAGACTCTGGACTGGACCTGGCAGCATGAGGAGGCGGTATATAGGGGCCTATGGCAGATTAGGGGCCTGGCAGCAGCTATGGGAGGCCCGTAATCTGCCAGCACCCTATGTCAAAAAATTCTACACACACCAGCAGTGTGAGGAGACCTGAAAGTGGCACATGGCAGAGTGTGGCGATGGAGACAGCAGCAATGGGAGGCCGTACAGGGACCCATGAGAGACTCTGGACCTGGCAGCAGCATGAGGAGGCGGTATATAGGGGCCTATGGCAGATTAGGGGCCTGGCAGCAGCTATATGGGAGGCCCGTAATCTGCCAGCACCCTATGTCAAAAAATTCTACACACCAGCAGTGTGAGGAGACCTGAAAGTGGCACATGGCAGAGTGTGGCGATGGAGACAGCAGCAATGGGAGGCCGTACAGGGACCCATGACTCTGGACTCTGGACCTGGCAGCAGCATGAGGAGGCGGTATATAGGGGCCTATGGCAGATTAGGGGCCTGGCAGCAGCTATGGGAGGCCCGTAATCTGCCAGCACCCTATGTCAAAAAATTCTATGTCAAAAAATTCTACACACCAGCAGTGTGTGAGGAGACCTGAAAGTGGCACATGGCAGAGTGTGGCGATGGAGACAGCAGCAATGGGAGGCCGTACAGGGACCCATGAGAGACTCTGGACCTGGCAGCAGCATGAGGAGGCGGTATATAGGGGCCTATGGCAGATTAGGGGCCTGGCAGCAGCTATGGGAGGCCCGTAATCTGCCAGCACCCTATGTCAAAAAATTCTAACACACCAGCAGTGCAGTGTGAGGAGACCTGAAAGTGGCACATGGCAGAGTGTGGCGATGGAGACAGCAGCAATGGGAGGCCGTACAGGGACCCATGAGAGACTCTGGACCTGGCAGCAGCATGAGGAGGCGGTATATAGGGGCCTATGGCAGATTAGGGGCCTGGCAGCAGCTATGGGAGGCCCGTAATCTGCCAGCACCCTATGTCAAAAAATTCTACACACAGCAGTGTGTGAGGAGACCTGAAAGTGGCACATGGCAGAGTGTGGCGATGGAGACAGCAGCAATGGGAGGCCGTACAGGGACCCATGAGAGACTCTGGACCTGGCAGCAGCATGAGGAGGCGGTATATAGGGGCCTATGGCAGATTAGGGGCCTGGCAGCAGCTATGGGAGGCCCGTAATCTGCCAGCACCCTATGTCAAAAAATTCTACACACCAGCAGTGTGTGAGGAGACCTGAAAGTGGCACATGGCAGAGTGTGGCGATGGAGACAGCAGCAATGGGAGGCCGTACAGGGACCCATGAGAGACTCTGGACCTGGCAGCAGCATGAGGAGGCGGTATATAGGGGCCTATGGCAGATTAGGGGCCTGGCAGCAGCTATAGGAGGCCCGTAATCTGCCAGCACCCTATGTCAAAAAATTTCTACACACACCAGCAGTGTGTGAGGAGACCCTGGCAAAGTGGCACATGGCAGAGTGTGGCGATGGAGACAGCAGCAATGGGAGGCCGTACAGGGACCCATGAGAGACTCTGGACCTGGCAGCAGCATGAGGAGGCGGTATATAGGGGCCTATGGCAGATTAGGGGCCTGGCAGCAGCTATGGGAGGCCCGTAATCTGCCAGCACCCTATGTCAAAAAAATTCTACACACCAGCAGTGTGTGAGGAGACCTGAAAGTGGCACATGGCAGAGTGTGGCGATGGAGACAGCAGCAATGGGAGGCCGTACAGGGACCCATGAGAGACTCTGGACCTGGCAGCAGCATGAGGAGGAGGCGGTATATAGGGGCCTATGGCAGATTAGGGGCCTGGCAGCAGCTATGGGAGGCCCGTAATCTGCCAGCACCCTATGTCAAAAAATTCTACACACACCAGCAGTGTGTGAGGAGACCTGAAAGTGGCACATGGCAGAGTGTGGCGATGGAGAGCAGCAATGGGAGGCCGTACAGGGACCCATGAGAGACTCTGGACCTGGCAGCAGCATGAGGAGGCGGTATATAGGGGCCTATGGCAGCAATTAGGGGCCTGGCAGCAGCTATGGGAGGCCCGTAATCTGCCAGCACCCTATGTCAAAAAATTCTACACACCAGCAGTGTGTGAGGAGACCTGAAAGTGGCACATGGCAGAGTGTGGCGATGGAGACAGCAGCAATGGGAGGCCGTACAGGGACCCATGAGAGACTCTGGACCTGGCAGCAGCATGAGGAGGCGGTATATAGGGGCCTATGGCAGATTAGGGGCCTGGCAGCAGCTATGGGAGGCCCGTAATCTGCCAGCACCCTATGTCAAAAAATTCTACACACCAGCAGTGTGTGAGGAGACCTGAAAGTGGCACATGGCAGAGTGTGGCGATGGAGACAGCAGCAATGGGAGGCCGTACAGGGACCCATGAGAGACTCTGGACCTGGCAGCAGCATGAGGAGGCGGTATATAGGGGGCCTATGGCAGATTAGGGGCCTGGCAGCAGCTATGGGAGGCCCGTAATCTGCCAGCACCCTATGTCAAAAAATTCTACACACCAGCAGCAGTGTGTGAGGAGACCTGAAAGTGGCACATGGCAGAGTGTGGCGATGGAGACAGCAGCAATGGGAGGCCGTACAGGGACCCATGAGAGACTCTGGACCTGGCAGCAGCATGAGGAGGCGGTATATAGGGGCCTATGGCAGATTAGGGCCTGGCAGCAGCTATGGGAGGCCCGTAATCTGCCAGCACCCTATGTCAAAAAATTCTACACACCAGCAGTGTGTGAGGAGACCTGAAAGTGGCACATGGCAGAGTGTGGCGATGGAGACAGCAGCAATGGGAGGCCGTACAGGGACCCATGAGAGACTCTGGACCTGGCAGCAGCATGAGGAGGCGGTATATAGGGGCCTATGGCAGATTAGGGGCCTGGCAGCAGCTATGGGAGGCCCGTAATCTGCCAGCACCCTATGTCAAAAAAATTCTACACACACCAGCAGTGTGTGAGGAGACCTGAAAGTGGCACATGGCAGAGTGTGGCGATGGAGACAGCAGCAATGGGAGGCCGTACAGGGACCCATGAGAGACTCTGGACCTGGCAGCAGCATGAGGAGGCGGTATATAGGGGCCTATGGCAGATTAGGGGCCTGGCAGCAGCTATGGGAGGCCCGTAATCTGCCAGCACCCTATGTCAAAAAATTCTACACACCAGCAGTGTGTGAGGAGACCTGAAAGTGGCACATGGCAGAGTGTGGCGATGGAGACAGCAGCAATGGGAGGCCGTACAGGGACCCATGAGAGACTCTGGACCTGGCAGCAGCAGCATGAGGAGGCGGTATATAGGGGCCTATGGCAGATTAGGGGCCTGGCAGCAGCTATGGGAGGCCCGTAATCTGCCAGCACCCTATGTCAAAAAAATTCAACACACCAGCAGTGTGTGAGGAGACCTCAAAGTGGCACATGTTTGAGGCATGATTCATGGCGGATTTAGTCAGTTGTGTCAGGAACTGGTGGTTTGAAATCCAGACTAATCCACGCCTGATTCATTTTCACAAACGTGAGTCTCTCCACACTTTGGGTGGACAGTCGTGTCCTCCGCGGAGTTACAATACCTCCTGCCGCACTAAACACGCGCTCCGATGCCACGCGCTACTGGCCGGGCATGACAGCCTTTCAAGGGCAAATTCAGCTAGTTGGGGCCAAAGGTCAAGTTTCGTTGACCAGTAGTCAAGGGGATTGTCTACCTCGGTTGGCAGGGTGCTGTCCAAGTAGGCCCAAGCCTGTTGTTTGAGGTCCTGCTCCAGGTCCAGGTGCTGCTGCTGCTGCTGCTGCTGCTGCTGCTGCTGCTGCGGCTGGTTAGTAGTTTCCTCACTGCGCTGGTGAAGAAAGCTACTCATCATCGACTGCAGACTGAGGCAGCCGCTGCTGGTGGAGCTGCCACTGCTCCTACCACCCCACCCCCCCTGCTGCCATGGCAGCGGAACGCGAGCGCACAGGGCCCACAGTGTCTGAGGATGGACGTTGGCGCACAAAGGCAGAGACCTAAAACTGACTACATAGGTGGTTTTTATAGTACGTTATTTTGGCCTCCCTCTCAGCAGGTGTGAAAAAGGCCACCATTTTGGAACGGTAGCGAGGGTCCAACAAGGTGGACAGCCAAAAGTCATCCCTCTGTCTGATGGTTATTATTCGGCTGTCGCTACGCAAGCAACCGAGCATGCTATGGGCCATTTGTGCCAAGGAATGCGAGGGACTCCCTGCCTCCATCTCCACAGCATACTGCCACGGTGCGTCTGGGGTCCTCTGTCTCCTCCTCCTCCTCCTCTACCAGATGCTCCTGCTCCTCCACTCCTGTCCGCTGAGTGGTCAAAAAAAACCACCCATTTCACTCAATAATTCCTGAGCACAAATGAAAGTCCTCCTCTACCTCCTCCTCTTCTTCCTGTCCTGCCCCCACAGGGGTCATGTGGCGTTGAGATCTGTGCGCCACGTCTACCGCACCCTGACCAGCCATTGTTAACAGCATTTGTTCAAGGACGTGCAACAGAGGAATGACGTCGTTCATCCCATAGTCCTGCCGACTCACGAATAGCGTGGCCTCCTCAAAGGGCCTGAGCAAGCGGCAGGTGTCACGCATGAGCTGCCAATGGCTGACATCGAAGTTACACAGGGGAGTACCTTTATCCGCTTGTAACATCAGGAAATCGGTGATGGCCTTTCGCTGCTCGTAAAGGCGGTCTAACATGTGTAGGGTTGAATTCCACCTTGTTGCAACGTCGCAGATCAGGCGATGATGTGGAATTCCGTTCTGCCGCTGCAGCTCAGAGGAGGGTGTGCTTTGCGGTGTAGGAATGGCTGAAATGCATGCAAAGTTTACGTGACATTTTAAGGATGTCTTGCAGTGGGATGGTGGATTTTAGGAACCGCTTGACAACCAGATTGAACACGTGAGCCATGCATGGCGCATGGCACAACCTTCCTTGACGCAGAGCAGACACCATGTTCTTTCCGTTGTCGGTCAACATGGTTCCGATTTTCAGTTTGCGCGGAGACAGCCATCTGTCGATTTCTCTGTTCATTACACTCAGAAGTTCCTCCCCTGTGTGACTACGTTCGCCTGGACCTGGCAGCAGCATGAGGAGGCGGTATAGGGGCCCATGGCAGATTAGGGGCCTGGCAGCAGCTATAGGAGGCCCGTAATCTGCCAGCACCCTATGTCAAAAAATTCAACACACCAGCAGTGTGAGGAGACCTGAAAGTGGCACATGGCAGAGTGTGGCGATGGAGACAGCAGCAATGGGAGGCCGTACAGGGACCCATGACAGACTCTGGACCTGGCAGCAGCATGAGGAGGCGGTATATAGGGGCCCATGGCAGATTAGGGGCCTGGCAGCAGCTATGGGAGGCCCGTAATCTGCCAGCACCCTATGTCAAAAAATTCAACACACACCAGCAGTGTGAGGGACCTGAAAGTGGCACATGGCATGAGAGACTGTGGACCTGGCAGCAGCATGAGGAGGCGGTATAGGGGCCCATGGCAGATTAGGGGCCTGGCAGCAGCTATGGGAGGCCCGTAATCTGCCAGCACCCTATGTCAAAAAAATCAACACACCAGCAGTGTGTGAGGAGACCTGAAAGTGGCACATGGCAGAGTGTGGCGATGGAGACAGCAGCAATGGGAGGCCGTACAGGGACCCATGAGAGACTCTGGACTGGCAGCAGCATGAGGAGGCGGTATATAGGGGCCCATGGGCAGATTAGGGGCCTGGCAGCAGCTATGGGAGGCCCGTAATCTGCCAGCACCCTATGTCAAAAAATTCAACACACACCAGCAGTGTGAGGAGACCTGAAAGAAAGTGGCACATGGCATGAGAGACTGTGGACCTGGCAGCAGCATGAGGAGGCGGTATAGGGGCCCATGGCAGATTAGGGGCCTGGCAGCAGCTATGGGAGGCCCGTAATCTGCCAGCACCCTATGTCAAAAAATTCAACAACACCAGCAGTGTGTGAGGAGACCTGAAAGTGGCACATGGCAGAGTGTGGCGATGGAGACAACCCACCGACTGTTTTGCTCGCTGCCAAGCTGCCACCCTCTTCTCCTGATGATGCGGAAGCAATAGCCTGATGACGACGAGGCTGCCAAGTGCGATCAGCCTCATCATCATCAATTAGGGTCTCCGCCTCACTACTAGCCCCCTCGGCTGCGTGTGGGTCAGGAGACAGACCTGTCTCTACACCGGCTACCGAGCCACTCTCCTCGCCACTACTTCTTCGCCTGGCTGCTGAAGAGGCGGATGTCTCCCCCCGTTCCTGACCGCCCTCTGTTAGCTCTTCCTCACTGTACTGGATGACACCGGGAGCACTAGCCTCTGGCTGCGAATAGTGCTGCCTCGACCCCTTCCTCTGCTGCCACGTCTGCTCGCTCCTAAAACATTGCCTCCTCTGCCACTCCTCTGCATGTTGTCTGACATACTCTTTAATTAAACGATTCTGTGTCCCTGAGTAACAATTCTGTGGCCCTAAGTAACGGTTCTGTGGCCCTCAGTACAGTTCTGTGTCCCTGAGTAACAATTCTGTGTCTGTGCGAGTAACAATTCTGTGGCCCTAAGTAACAGTTCTGTGGCCCTCAGTAACAATTATGTGTCCCTAAGTAACGGTTCTGTGGCCCTCAGTAACAATTCTGTGTCCCTGTGTAACAATTCTGTGTCTGTGCGAGTAACGAGTAACAATTCTGTGGCCCTAAGTAACAGTTCTGTGGCCCTCAGTAACAGTTCTGTGTCCCTGAGTAACAATTCTGTGTGTCTGTGCGAGTAACAATTCTGTGGCCCTAAGTAACAGTTCTGTGGCCCTCAGTAACAGTTCTGTGTCCCTGAGTAACAATTCTGTGTCTGTGCGAGTAACAATTCTGTGGCCCTAAGTAACAGTTCTGTGGCCCTCAGTAACAATTCTGTGTCCCTGAGTAAACAATTCTGTGGCCCTAAGTAACGGTTCTGTGGCCCTCAGTAACAATTCTGTGTCCCTGTGTAACAATTCTGTGTCTGTGCGAGTAACAATTCTGTGGCCCTAAGTAACAGTTCTGTGGCCCTCAGTAACAGTTCTGTGTCCCTGAGTAACAATTCTGTGTCTGTGCGAGTAACAATTCTGTGGCCCTAAGTAACAGTTCTGTGGCCCTCAGTAACAGTTCTGTGCCCCTGAGTAACAATTCTGTGTCTGTGCGAGTAACAATTCTGTGGCCCTAAGTAACAGTTTCTGTTGCCCTCAGTAACAATTCTGTGGCCCTAAGTAACGGTTCTGTGGCCCTCAGTAACAATTCTGTGTCCCTGTGTAACAATTCTGTGTCTGTGCGAGTAACAATTCTGTGGCCCTAAGTAACAGTTCTGTGTGGCCCTCAGTAACAGTTCTGTGTCCCTGAGTAACAATTCTGTGTCTGTGCGAGTAACAATTCTGTGTCTGTGCGAGCGAGTAACAATTCTGTGGCCCTAAGTAACGGTTCTGTGGCCCTCAGTAACAGTTCTGTGTCCCTGTGTAACAATTCTGTGTCTGTGCGAGTAACAATTCTGTGGCCCTAAGTAACAGTTCTGTGGCCCTCAGTAACAATTCTGTGTCCCTGATTAACGTTTCTGTGGCCCCAAGTAACAGTTCTGTGGCCCTCAGTAACAATTCTGTGTCTGTGCGAGTAACAATTCTGTGTCTGTGCGAGTAACAATTCTGTGGCCCTAACAGTTCTGTGGCCCTCAGTAACAATTCTGTGTCCCTGATTAACGTTTCTGTGGCCCCAAGTAACAGTTCTGTGGCCCTCAGTAACAATTCTGTGTCTGTGCGAGTAACAATTCTGTGTCTGTGCGAGTAACAATTCTGTGGCCCTAAGTAACAGTTCTGTGGCCCTCAGTAACAATTCTGTGTCCCTGATTAACGTTTCTGTGGCCCCAAGTAACAGTTCTGTGGCCCTCAGTAACAATTCTGTGTCTGTGCGAGTAAGAATTCTGTGTCTGTGCGAGTAACAATTCTGTGGCCCTAAGTAACAGTTCTGTGGCCCTCAGTAACAGTTCTGTGTCCCTGAGTAACAATTGTGTCTGTGCGAGTAACAATTCTGTGGCCCTAAGTAACAGTTCTGTGGCCCTCAGTAACAATTCTGTGTCCCTGATTAACGTTTCTGTGGCCCCAAGTAACAGTTCTGTGGCCCTCAGTAACAATTCTGTGTCTGTGCGAGTAACAATTCTGTGGCCCTAAGTAACAGTTCTGTTGCCCTCAGTAACAATTCTGTGTCCCTGATTAACGTTTCTGTGGCCCCAAGTAACAGTTCTGTGGCCCTCAGTAACAATTGTGTGTCTGTGCGAGTAACAATTGTGTGTCTGTGCGAGTAACAATTCTGTGGCCCTAAGTAACAGTTCTGTGTCCCTGAGTAACAATTCTGTGTCTGTGCGAGTAAGAATTCTGTGTCTGTGCGAGCAACAATTCTGTGGCCCTAAGTAACAGTTCTGTGGCCCTCAGTAACAGTTCTGTGTCCCTGAGTAACAATTCTGTGTCTGTGCGAGTAACAATTCTGTGTCTGTGCGAGTAACAATTCTGTGGCCCTAAGTAACGGTTCTGTGGCCCTCAGTAACAGTTCTGTGTCCCTGTGTAACAATTCTGTGTCTGTGCGAGTAACAATTCTGTGGAAAAACGAATGCGCCGCGCTCCTATATATTAGTATATACAGCTTGTACTACTAAAGTGTATCAATATAGTGAATAGTGACTATACCACTAATTACATATATTACATATAAATCACATGCACAGTGAATACTCCTAAAGTGATAGTGCCTTAGTGGGTGCTATGGTGTAAACCCATATTGCACCTCTATATAGCTGTGTACATACTATATGATTAATGCAAACACATATGTGCACGTGCTGGTAATACACAAATAATGAATAAAGTCTTTGAAATAAATGTGCAAGTGAATATTCTGTTCCTTTTCTCCAAGTGCTAGATGGTCTCCTTATATGCTCACCTCTATATTTGCCTGAACAAATCCAGGCAAATACGCTTTTTATCCTTCCAGGATAGATGAAATGGGATGATGCCTTTACTCCAGCCGTCCTATAAGGTGGACATACCTATGGATGGATCCTCCTGTTCTTTCCTTTATCTCCCTGTGTATCAATGAGTACACTGAATAGCTTTCTTGGGATCTCCCAGTTCCCCTCCTGGGGTTGTTTCCTCGTTCACTCCTCCTTATAGTAGCTCATGGGATGTTTGGTCAAAGAAGAAAAAGCAGACCATAGTGTCTTATCCTTGTGTAAAAAATGGATTTATTTCTGCCACTAACAGGTATAACTTGGTGGCATACAGCTCATATGTGATCCAGACAGGTATAGATGGCAGTCAGCAGGTGAAAAAGCCGGTAGCAAGAACCTCTCTGTAGCTGCCCCTGCAGTGCTATCTGCCTGTGCTTGTATTCGGATCTACTCGCTTCTCCAGTGCAATGTCGTGACGTCAGAGCCCCTCCCCTACGCGTTGCGTCACAGGGTCACGTGACTTCATCAGGGGGAATATGATTGGATGCCACGACTGTGTATGCCCAGCTATTTATATCTCTCGGCCGCCATTTTCCCGAAGCCCATATGGGCGCGGCCATTTTCCCAGTGATTTTCCCTAGCTGTATTGCAGGTAGGTATTTACAATGTACATGTCTACTTGGATCTTACGTTTCCTCTGTCTGTCAGACATTGCTAACTGGGTCAGCTGTAATCCATCTCATAACCTGCAATGGCTAAATGGTAACAACATCTTTGAGGTGCAATATGGGTTTACACCATAGCACCCACTAAGGCACTATCACTTTAGGAGTATTCACTGTGCATGTGATTTATATGTAATATATGTAATTAGTGGTATAGTCACTATTCACTATATTGATACACTTTAGTAGTACAAGCTGTATATACTAATATATATATAGGAGCGCGGCGCATTCGTTTTTCCATCATCTATACACACTAGTTAAGTGAGTCAGTGTAAGTGCCAGCGCACCCCATACACTTTTAGATTTAATTATTTATCATATACCTCAATTCATAATAGCTCACAAGTATTCACTATAATTGTTCATTTACACTCATTTATCACTTGTTGGTAGAAATTATGGAGGTTTTCACATTTTTGGAAAATAGGGAATTGGACATCAATAATATATTTGTAGGAGATAACCAGGAGGATCCAAGTATAAATATTATATTTAAGAAATTAGGGAACCTCATGGATAAAAAAATCAGTATGTGGTGGGATATAGTCACTATGGAAAAATATATCAAAGAAAGAATGATTCCGAGGAAGCTCAGATGGGAATTACCTATCAATGATA